ATCGCTAAAAGAACGACTGCTTGCAAACCACACGTTTTGCAGCTCGCGATTTCCATGATGAATTAAATTTCTCGATAAACACTGCCAGGTCAAAAGCTGACCTCGGGTATCTGCAGTGCAACCAGAAAATATGACCTGACCGGAAACCCAAGCTGATCGAAGACCAAGACAATTACCCATTGGGAAACCTCGGGTAAATATTTCCACTGTTGAATAAATTTAAAATTTTAATGTTATATTAAAATAATATGCAGAGCATTTTATATCCATCAGGAACCATGGGTTCAATGTCTTGTAGTTAAAGTTTAATCAATACATGCACGCTGTATAGTCGGTGTACATCTGTGTTTTTTGTACAGTATGTAAAATAACTGAGAAAATAAGAATCATTAGGAAATCGAATTACTCATTTTAAACAAAGCTTTAATTAACAAAAGTCATTCATTTAACCAATCTGGGAACTCAAGCCAGGGGCACTTCCTCAAGTTTTCGAGGGCATATTCGCTGAGCTTCATGTCCAAGTTTTCCTGGTCAGTGTCCTCGGCATCAGGAAGCTAACAGTCAAAAGAGAGAGAATCTTAGCCTTCATGACTTCCACAAACCCACAACAACTGTTACATTGTATTACGACTTGGGGCCCTGTGCGCGCATTAGACAAAATTTTGTTTTCAGTTCCGCGAAATAAGTTCTCAAGGTGATTCTCCTACCAACTTGTCAAACGTAAAAGGCGCCAGAGTCCTGCTTCGGAGCATGATAAATTTTTGGCAGGCGTAAAAACTGAGAGATTTTTCAAATTAACGCGCCATGATTTATCTCGCTTTGATCTCTCTTTTACCTCTGATTTCGCCATGTGATTGACACTTTGTGGTCAACAAATATTTTACTGTTTTCGAGTGCGCCAACGGTTACCAAATTGAAAATTTGACTGAGACAATTTTTGTCGCAATTTTGGTAGAGACAAACAAATTTTGTCGGCCTAGTGCGCACGGGCCCTTGCCTAAGTTGTGCACTTACCTTGCATTTAAACCGCTTAAGTTCAATGGCAGGCCGTGCCAATGACACTAGACTTAAATCACTTTCTTCTATCATTGCTTCCATTGTCTTCTCGTCGAACTCTCCTTCTTCTATTTCTTTAATTTTTTTACATTGTTCCTCAACCCATTTCTTGTAATCGAATTAATCCTCTTCCCCGTTACCACTGATCTGATTGGAATCTTCCTTTTCCCCAACTTGTTCTTTTTCTTCACATTTCTTCAGCATTTGTTCAATCTTTTCGATTTGCTTTAGAATGCCTTTATGAAATTGAGGGATCTCTTCCTCCTCTGAGCTAGAGTTGCTCTCTGGCCTCACACATGTCAGGAGTTGCCTACAGACCGGTTTGTTGTTTGATTCAGCCATTTCTCCCTTGCGAATTAGCATGTGGCATCATATATATGCGCCCGCAGGAAAACGTCTTAGCAACGGATGTCTTATGACCACCCATTGTCCAAGAAGATTGTCTCATTAAATAAGATTTTATTCGGCCTAATAAATTCGTTTTGAAACGAATTTCTTGCAAAGGAGGGCATCCCGGAATAACTTTAACTACATATATATAGAAAGCGGAATGAGCAAAATCTTGATAGACATGTAGAAAGAGCGTGACCAGTTTGTAAACTTTGGCCCAGGCTTCGGGTGTGGTATTGTACATAATAATTTGTCTAGTCGCCCAATTAGATGAAAATACAGTCAAACCTCCGGTTGCGACCACCTCTCCTCAGCAACCAGTTTTCAAAAATACCAAAATTTTCCAAGTCAAATCACTATATTTGAAACCTTGTAAGCGATCATCTCTCATAAGCGACCATGACCACTTTTAGAGCCAGAAATTTGAAATTTTCTTTTGTTTTTAACCTCCTGTAAGCAACCAGTGGAGAGATAATTGAACGAAAACTGGCTAAGGTGTTGTAACCAAATAGCTGGTTTTCACATGACGTCACCAAAATTCGAACTACAAAACTATTGATCTTCCTGAGAATTTACTTAAATGATGCAGAAGAGCAGCTGAAAACTCATATTCATGCAAATTTTCGCTCTGAATGGGTTGTGATACACTACGCTTGAATTTCTAAGCTTTTGTGTGACGCGGCATTTACATGACGGCCTAGATGCCATGATGGTTAAAAAAGTGACTTATTTCAGGGAACTTGGCCATCTGAACAGTTTATGTCTTAGAAAAAGTAATATTTTAATGTTTTAGAGTTCCTCAAGAGATTAATTCATGCTTTTGTAGCAAAACTCAGTGAGAGATGTTTCTGTTGGTTTCCGGC